ATTTATTAAACCCCTCTAACCCATGCGTAGCATGGGTTCATCTCCTAGTTAAACTACATTTTGGATGCTTTAAGATATAAGAATCACTCGTTTACATGAAATTGAAAAAAAAAACATCCACATTTGAAATAGTTTGAAATATCTTGCTCGGAGAAAGTACTTTCAGCAGGCCAAGTCAAATATATCTGCCTTGTCCTTGCAACTATTCCGCCGTGTTTTTTCTATCCATGTAATCTGTATATTTTGTAAATCCATCCACTAAAACTACCGCATGTCACCTATGAATTATATAACCTGTCAATGAGAGTTGTTTTATTGAGGCGAGCAAGAAGCGGGATGGAACTATAATCAACTTTTCCATATCTTTGACATTTGGTCGAATATCCCTTAGCTTGAAGTGTCTTCCCAAACTTCTCATAATACAATGATGGTAAAGCAACTATGGAAACAGGGTATTTATTTAGTGATCCAGGTGACATTCGTTGTTTATTTTTAAGGTAAAAAATTGTTGGTTATGAACTGATACTTCAATTAGAGTTACTGGAGCTCAAATTTGACCTATAAACTCTATTCCATGAAGTACATTTACCCAAGCTTTGCATTTTCTATTTTAGTTTTCCCAACTCCACTTTCACCACTACAAAAATAAATAAATAAATAAATGAAATTTATAAATGCAATATATTCATTGTATAAACACTTTTCTAATGAATTTAACCCTATTATTCTAAAAAATATCTAATAATAAAAAAAGGAATAAACTTACAAATTGAAAAGGGGAATGAAATTAAAATACTTCCAATTATTATATTTTATTATTTTAAATAATCTACTCAGTTATAAATATTAAGGATGGATGTCATCAATTGAAATTATCTAAAAAAATTAATAATAATCAAAAGGAATAAACTTACAAATCGAAAAAGGGAATAAAATTATAGTACTTCCAGTTTAATAATCTATTCAGTTATAAATATCAAGGATAGATGCCATGACTTGCAATTAACCCTGGTATTATAAAAAAAGATCAATGACTAGATAAAGGAACAAACTTACAGATTCAAAAGTCCTTCTAAACTTTGATTTCCTTGAATTTTCATCCTTATTAGTAGAATTTCATATGATAAGTTTTTCCAACTAAAAAAAATCATAAATAATTACTCAAATCAAAATATTACAATAATCAAAAAGGTAATTTTAAGCATACTTGCAACGTGCAACATAAACATTAAAAATGATATTAAATGCTAGAAATAACAACACAGCAAAAGTAAAATTGGAAACTCACTAAAATTGCCTAAGTAAAGATACTTGTTGCCAAATACCCTTCCTATCCTTCCTTAAGAAAGAATCTCTATCTCTATATATATTAAAAGAGAAGCTTGATGACATCACCTTCAACAATCAGGGTCATTCATTTTGTTTTCTTGATTAATTTCAACCATTGGATCATTCTGGATCATTTCAATGATGTCATCCTAAAAAACAATTCACAACGCGCGTATGCCATCCTCTTTACTACTACAAACGCCATCCAACTGGCTTACTATTTCATCTTGATTTCAAATTATCTTCGCCTGAGAAATCAAGGGTCGTTCCCGGATTGCAAAATCTTGGCAACAATTTCAAATTTCTATCGTCGTCGTCTGAGAGCGAATCTTCGCCTGAGAAATTGAGGGTCATTCCTGGATTGCAAAATCTTGGCAACAATTTCTTCTTGAACGTGGTTCTGTAGGTATCATAATCCATATAACTTATCAATTATATAATTCGAATATACATAGTTTCTTCTGCGACTTTGATTCCAGGATGCATTAGTTTATTGGAACTTGAAATTTTTTAGGTTTTGGCTACCTGTTCTTCTTTTCTGAGTCCCCTAATATTGTTTTTTAATTACTTATTAGGCATCATTAATGAGAAGATTTGTTGCCAATTCATCATATACATCGTGTTGTATGCATTACTGATAAAATTCAACATGAAAATTTGACAAACTTTCATTCAATTTGAGACTTGAATGATTGGGTTGATTTGGTTGTTGCAGAAAAGACAAGTAAATGTAAAGGAAAGTGTGTTTTTGCATCTTTATTTGGAGTTGGAGCTCTTGAAGCTTTAGTTAAAAAGAAACGTCGCTTTGTTGGTTTTTGGGCATAAAGTTCTTGCCGAGGTGACTGTATATCCCAAAATCAAAATTTTGTAATCTATTTTTTTGTTATCTCTTTTAGGATGTTATTTTTGTGTCAATCTTGACATTATAACACCTAAATTGCAGGTTGCTAAAACTTTGGGAAAAACTTTGCGTTCATTTCAACCCACAATCGGGGAAGTACATGTAATTTTTGTTTGAATGTGTGGTTTCAAAGTGATTATTTATCTCAACTTGAAGAATAAGAACCAGATACTGATTGCATGTTTTAAACGCACGATTCACTTCAAAATAGGAAGTTTCATTGTGAATTCAAGAGCATCCTTCAAAAGGAAATTGGCCTTGATGAGCTTCAAAACCCTATACAATGAAACTACACTTCTGCAACACCGTCTGTCACCACCACCACCACTATAATTACTCTCCGGAAACCACAACCATCCCATAGGATCCTCAGGAAACAATGACAACCACCCCTGAAGTCATACTAGAAGATTCCGGAGACACAACAACAACTCCAACTGTCACCATGGAGTAGGATGACAATTTGAAAAGAATCATGCAACAAAATGAAGATGTGGTTATGTGATATGGAAGTAGTGGCTGGAATTAGGTATTCTATTGAGCATGTTTATTTTCTTTTTATTTCTTGCAACTATGAAATATCCCATGATAGAGGCAGCATGATTTAAGTGTTTCAAATGCATTAAATAGCATCCTAGTTTCTTTTACTTTACTATGAATGGTGCTATATATAATAGGATTGGTGTATAATGGTCAAATTGAGTGTGTTCCTTTACTAACTAACTTTATATAATTATATTTTATAGAACTGGAGTTCCTGTGAAATGAATATGTATTTATTCTATGCCTTTCAAAAAGTATGATTTTATATTATTATATAAACATTGTTTTTTTTTCAATAGTTGATTGTTTGTAAAACATGGACCATTTCTTGAATTATATTTTTCAAAGGGACCATGTTAGCATCCTATTTTCATATATACACATGTTAGCATCCTGCTTTTTTTATTGATCTTTTATTTAATATTAAATGGATGGATTTTATAAACGAATTTAATCCAAAAAAGGGCAAAACTGTATTTTTTTCACATTTTCTTTTATTACATTTGGCAAATCATCTTTTTTTTTCATTTTTCTGTTAATATATACTTAAATTAAATTAATATTGACAAAATTTGAAAGCTTGACTAACTGATTTAATGTTAACGTCATTTATAAAAGGAATGCATTCAACTCATTTAAATCTCATCATAATTTTTTAAAGTAAATTTTGTTCCTTCCTAATTAAAAGCACGTTCTTAGCACTCACCTTTCTTATATGCTTTTCATAATTCATATCTATTATATGAAATGTATCTACAAGATTACGGGATATCGTCGTCGATTTTAAAGAATCAAAGAATTCGAAATTTGATATCCTTTCCATAATCATTGTTGAAAGTGTTGTATAAATAATGTGTTGTTGTTCGTCCATTATGTTTTATTTAGACCATTTGCAACTTCACGTTCGAACAACATCACCCTTTGCATCATCACATTCGTCATCCAAGTTCCTTTTTTAATATGATGTTCTTAATTTCTATTCATTGTAAAAACTACTTTCAATTGTCCTTCAAATTGATTTGACCATTGTGCTCTTATATGTTTTAATTTTTTTTGAGTTTTTATTTTGTTTCTAACAGATTTAGTTAATATCAATATACATTGAATTTAATATGTATTGTTTTGAATTTGTGCATTCCTATTTTCTGTTTTACAGGTAGTATTTATGCAATTATTATGATTACAATGCTATTAATAGAACTAAGGACCATTTTTTAAAAATTTCAGTTTACATGACCATTTCTTTATATAATAATGTTATTATGTGTTTGTTTGTGTTTTTTTGTTAATCATTTGATTTGATAAATTACAATTTTTAAACAATTCAGTTTACATGGACCATTTTTCTAATTGTTATATAATAGTTTAAAGGGACCATTTTAAACCCTGATGGCATTTTACAAAATAACATCCTACTTTCAATTGTTCTTCAAAGTGATTTTACCATTATGCCCTTATAGCAGTGTACTTCTGAATCATAAATACAATTATATTCTATTTTGCAGAATGCGGAATGGCACATAATAGTGGCGATGAAATCGTCTTTGATAGTCTTGCTGACATTGATGCGTCGAATGAAACATGGAATATTCGTGTTCATGTACTCATGCTTTGGAAGCAGACTTACAAAAACAACCCAAACATGGTGAGCAGCTTGGATATGATTTTAATGGACCAGCAAGTAAGAATTTTACTAAGTTAAAATAAACTGATATCTTAATTTATTATTTTCAATAAAACAACATGGGTTATGACCTCCAGGTCACTAAAATACAGGCAACAATCAAAAAAAATCTCATCAATGTATTTCAAACCTTGTTCGATGAAGGGGCTGTCAGGGAAATCAATAAATTTGGTATGGATAGAAACGAAGGAGATTACATGTTGGTTGGTCACAAGCATAAGATAAATTTCTACAAAACAACGACAGTTCGTGTATCAGCTCCTTTTGTTGATAGGACCGATCCTTTTAATTTTGTGACTTTCCATGATTTGACTGCCAGAAATTTTGACACTCGTGTTGCATTTGGTAAGTTTTTTCTCTTAACATCTTCGCATGTGTGTGTGTATATATATATATATATATATATATATATATATATATATATATATA